CACTCCGAGAACAACAAGGATTAGAGTAAAAACAATTAATACATTAGACTCGAAGCAAAGCTCAATTGGGAATGACTGGAATTAAAATAAATACTACTATTTGTAAGTACACGCCGAAAGACCGACAAAGGAAAGTTCGGCATCCTTTGATAAAATTAATGATTCTTCAGAAAATTAATAAAGTAGATGCGTTGCCAGATAGGTATAGTGTGCCTAAGTAAAAATGAAATGTAAATATGTAAATAAAATTGTGTATATTATGTTCTTCTTGTGATTGAATTAATCTACGTTAATTAAATTAAATTTGCCTTCACTCGTTTGAAATTCAAAATTCAAATATGTTTTATTCAAGTAGGCATTAAAAATACACTTTTGAATAGTCATATAATCACTGTTTTCCCCAATTTTTTCTTTTCCATGTCCAGGGGTTCTGATTCTACTGAGAAGAATCATGGAAGAAAGTAAGAAACTCAGTAGTTGCTCTTTTCAAAATATTTTTACAGTATTGAAATAATACTAGTTTTTACGGAATTTATCGCGTATATTTAACTTTTTAAATACCCGACGTTTCGAGAGCTTTACAGCACCCATGGTCACGGGAAGGACTGAGATGTTCAACGTCCAGATGTCATAGTTAACCGCGGTTACCATAGATTAAAATTTAACTTTTTGTTCCGATCTACACAGTATGAACTTATGGTATCATGAAGTCTTGCAGTTGTATGCTTGGGTTGGGATTTAATTTTATTTATTATAGGATCCCAAGCAGATGGTAGTACCCAGCCATCTTCTCTATTGAAATTAGGATGTTTTTTGATTTCAATAGCCTCGCGAATCATCCTTGGAAGGAATCGGTGTTCTTTAGCGAGGATTTGTGGTCTATCAAATCTGATGTAGTGACGGGGGCGATCCTGTACGTGTTCACAGACTGCAGACTTCCCGGAGCGTCGATTCTTCACATCAGCTATATGTTCTTTTACACGGGTTTTAATTGATCTTTTAGTGTGTCCTACGTAGGAGAGACCACATTTACCATCAAGCTTGTACACTCCTGCATCTTGCGGAGGGACGTTACACTTGACTGATGGTAAAAAACTGACCAATCTTCTTCGGCGGCTTGAAGTATGTTTTGATGGAAGCGCGCTTCAAGATGTAGCCAATCTTGTCAGTGACTCCTCTAACATATGGCAGTACAGCAGGTACACGCTCGACTGTGGCCGGCTTCACTCGTTCTCTGTGACGTAGGCGCGGGACCCGAAGCTTGTTGTCAAGCAAAACTTGCTTGACGTGTTGGAGCTCGGCAGCCAGGTGTTTACTGTCACAGATCCCTCGTGCTCTCTGAAACAAAGATTTACCCACGGTAGCTAACTGTGAAGGATGGTGGTGAGAATCACCATTTAAATATCTATCTGTATGGGTCTTTTTTCTATACACAGTATGGCTCAAGGATTCCGAATTACTAACACATCTAGAAAGGCTAAAATTGTTTGCCTCTAACTCCATTGTGAACTGAATTTTAGAATTTATAGAGCTAAGATGGTCTAAAAATGCAGTTACTTTATCTAAAGGTAGAACGACACTTTCACAATTCTACCTTCAAAAAACACACATTTCCAAAAATCGAGATTTGCAGTGAACTTATTATAATAATTACTTACTAGAATAAATTATTATGGTATCTACCTAACCTTACCATTATCTAATTACAATATTCCTTGCGAGATCAGCATAATGTATTCGTGTCCATTCTGAGCACCCGGAAACTTATTTTATTCTTTGGAACATGTACTCTGTGGTGGCATTCAAACAGTGTCAAATGTAGTGCGTGCGAAGATTGAATGCGATATCAATAGAAGCCGCCGGCGCGTGTATCTTGACCTTGTACTTCCGAATAGCTGCAAAATTTCTTTGACAGGTCAGTATTCGACCTTTGATGATGCCGACAACAAGACGCCGCGCACTATGAATGTGCCGATGGTCAAAACTAGGGATGCACTGTTTTTTCTTTTAATGGATATTTTCATCCGCTATGTATATTTATGGTATTGTTCGTAATGCGCATAAGTCCAATTTTCCAAATTTTTTTTATATATTTTTTTGCGTCTCATAGAGTCCCTAAGCGTATACCCGAACTCCTATACTCCCTGAAACGACACTCATTCCTAACTGCAAGACGCAAGAGTCTCGCAGGCTTAGTCTTGTTCTTGCTCAAATCTTGCACGGTCAGTCTTGGTCTTGGTTTAGCTAAAATTAGGCGGTCTTGTTCTTGGTCTTGGTCTTGCAAAAATGCAAGAACAAGACCAAGACTGCAAGACCAAGACCGATTTTGGGCAACACTACTTATCTGTATTCATAACCCAATATCTAAGGTAGGTTGATGCGCTCCTTCGTTTTTATATAATTCGTATTATTCTGTAATACCATAGCAAAGCTACTACTATTTTATTTAGTAGTAGCTTATATAGTAGTATAGTAAATTATATATAAAAAATATGAGTATGTCTGAGGTAAGGTTAAATATAAACAAATATTTTGCCAAGTGCGAATCGGACTTCCGAGCTTCCGAGATTACAAGATTTAAATACCATACATATTACTATCGATCAAAAAAGCCAAAAATACACGTCTTTTTCTAGTAGAAAATCCTTTAATTTCAAAATTATTTTTACCACTTGCTGTTATAGCGGCAACAGAAATACACGTTCTGTGAAAATTACAAACATCTACCTGTTACGGATCATGAGATGCATCTCATGGTGCCCGCTGACAGACACACGGACAGCGGAGCTTCGTAATAGGGCCCTGCTGGTTACCCTTCGGGTACGGAATCCTAAAAAGTACTAAGTTGTCCACTCACATCTGTATGATTCTTTCTTCAAAGGACCATATTAGCCTGGTTCTCGTATGACATGACCAATATAATACCTGGACTGACCTCTCTGAGTTTGTTTCGGCAGATCGGGTGCTTCTTCTCAGTTTCATGTTTTTGTTGTGTTTTTTAAAAAAAACAACTTACAAAACACATTTTATTTATCATTGACTGCCCTTCTTAGATTATTATGTACTTACATAAATTACATTAGGTATATTAGGATATGAGATTCCTATACGTAAGCACGATTATCGAAAATCTAAAAATTACCTATTCTAATTAAATTAATAGACAATTTTAAGATTTTCGATAATCGTGCTTATCTATGAGATGTTTTCGTTAGTTAGCAAATTAAAGTAGTTAAGTACCTAATGTACTACCTGTATCGAAAGTTCATTATTATGTACCTACCTGTTTTCAATTTTAACTAAATGTGCTTCAATAAACTTATGGGCACACTTTAGCAGCTATATTTATCCCGGCTTCAGCAATGGACACGAACAAAAGAAAGCAATTTTTCTAAATAAAGATGTAGATATGTAGGTATTACAACCATAAATAGATAGCAGCGGCTAACCTAGTATGTGTGAGTGCGCGCTGCGCCCTCCTCCGTCCGTCCCACTGATCGGGGAAACAATTTGTAGCGAAAGGCAAGATGTTTTATAACAAAAACGGGCGCGCGAAATTTTATAAACAGACCTTTGGTAGTCTGGATGTCACGAAAAATCTATTGAATGTATAATATATAATCTTCTTATGGTATTTATTTCCGCCCAAAGATGTGTTAAAACTAGTGTTGAAATTCGGAATTTTCGACGCTTATAACTTCTAAACATACTCTTTTTTACCTTTTTGTTTCCATACAGGGATAGAAAATGATGAGACAAATTAAATCATTTTTTATTTTGAACGTACACCATCAAACAGTGGAGTAATCCCCGGACTACGTTTGTATGGAAGAATAAGCGACTAGTGTACCCTTAAGTTTTTAACGCCAATTCACAATATTTATGCCTTTAAGCCATAATTTTAGTCTAGGTTCAGTTGGAAACCTGTTAATTAATAAAAATTTGATAATTATCTGTTGTTGGCGACTTTGTTTGTTAACAGATATTGGTAGGAAAGAACATCGATAAGTATTATAGACAAGGAACTCGACAACCCTATTGAATTTTATTTTTTATAAAAACTCAGTAATATACAGCCAAACATGTTAGTAATTCTGATATTAAGATTAGTAACAATTTTTAAGTATCTTTATTACCAGATAGTTTTACCTAATTTGTTTATTATTAGCTGCAAATTCACTTACTTGTGGAATATTGTACCATTTTCCTTTTGGTAACGAGTTTTACAGATTATGCACACTCATTATTATTAAAAATAATTCTTATAATGTAACTAAAATTATACACAATCAAAAAACATAAAACACATACATAAAACATTTTTTAAATAAGACAATTTAAATAAGACAACAGACTTTGGCATATTTCAATATTAGTTCTCAAGACGATAAATAGTGGCGTTTCAAATTGGCACAGACATTTTGTATGGTATAGCCAGTCCAGCGTACTTGTATATATAGAGGTCAGTGGGCTTGGTGCACCAACTTTAGTGTCTCGTTTTGTCCCATTAACTGACCCATTCGTGTTGCAACCTTACTACAGCTGCAGCATGGCATTTCCATATAACACACGTACTCTACACAAATAAATTGAACTTGAAGAAATTTGAGTGCCAGTCCTAATCTAATAGTGCACCATTGGTTGAAATTTTCATAGATTGCGTAGATTACCGTTTAACTATGCCGTTATCTTAGGTAAGCGCCTTCTGCAAGAGAGGAATGTGGTGGCGCATCACATTGCGTTTTATATATAATGCCTGTTGCGTCGTATGAATCCACTCGGTTAAATAGTAGATGTCTATTAGGTGATTGATGAAAACTAATGACAGTTCATCTCGGCACTAAATAAGATCAGATTTTACAAAAAGTGTATACTAAATAATATTTTTAACATAGTAAATAAAACAAGTACATAACAATCAGATGTATTGCTGGACCATGATTTCTATAAACTTCTTAATATTTAAAATCATAAAAGATGTTTTATTTTGTTGCTTTCAGAATCTTAAATAAATATACAAGGTTGTCCATGACAAGGAATGCAGTGTGGACACTATCAAATCTTTGTAGAGGCAAAAATCCTCCTACAAACTTTGAAGCTGTGGCACCTGGTGAGTATCATGTCTTAGTATATTATTCAAAAAATGGTCAAAAAACTTCAGGAAAAATTATAAGTCTGCTCAGGAAATAGTTCCATTCTGTGTTAAAATATTGTTTTAGGTCTCGGATAAGTACCTTTGCATATCTGCCTTCAAGCAGCAGGGAATCCTATGGTTAGGCTAGAGGATATCTGTAAGCCTCAGTTTAAAGTTGGTTGTAGGTGTGGATATGCTGCAGTAGCTACTTACTATCAGATGGTCTATTAGTTTGTTACTCCAAAATGTACATGTTATAACAGCTGCTACAGCCTATGTATGTCCCACTGCTGGGCACAGGCTTGCTCTCATTTTGAGAGGCAATGACTGTCCATGGCAAGGAAGTGTCCGCTGCGCTGCCCCGATGCATGTTAGCGAATTTTACATGTCTTCGAAAAAAAATTTTCTTATTTCTCAGACATGCAGGTAAATCAGCACTTACAATAACAATTCAGAGCCGGCGGGGATCGAACCCGGGTTGCTCTCGTACTGTGAAATTTAGAGCGCTTACCATCTGAGCTACCACGACTCTTATATTTAACAGCTGGGGTAATTATGAATTAAAGAGGGCGACTGAACCAAAAATGACTCATTTAGGAAGTACCAATTCAGGTTGTTATAGTGGTAGAGCCACGCGGCAGCTTTGCTGTTGCATGTATGGGCCGGCTCAAACTGGCTCAAACCACGACCTCACAGAATACCGGCGTGAAGTGGAAACTCTGCTTCCGCGTTTCGTCTGGTGAGTGCAGGTGGCCGGAGGCCCAAGTCCCCCTCCCCATCAACATGGTAGCGGAATTAAATGATACCAGGAGGGTACCAGCACCCCTGGAGAATCCCTCGCTGAGCATCCACTACCATGTCTCTCCACGCCTGAGCGTGGGTGCTCAGGCAGCCCCGCGTATTCTGGGGGGGGGGGAGGCAAAATTCCGCTCAAGACTACAACTGCTCGAGGCAAACGGAGCAACAAGACCAAGGCGACCCCTGCCACACTATCCGTGAATTTCTGCAATATCAGGGGACTTCACTCTAACCTAAACGCCGTCCACTACCATCTCGAGACGGCGAGGCCCGCTCTGCTCTTTCTGACCGAGACGCAGGTATCCTCTCCGGCAGTGGCGAAGCTTCCAGTAAAACCGAAAAGCCGGGCTTGCCTTATTAAACCTGAATCAATCAATAATATCAATCAATAATATCAACTAATAAAATAACTCGTAAAATGTTTCAAGCTATTTCAAATTTCCCGCGCACTCCACTGTTCGACACATGTCGACCAATGACCTCGTATTGCCTTAGCGATACTGCTGCTGTCATAAAAAATGAGTTTTAATAGAGCTAATAGTTGTCTCTCTCGCTCGCGTGGGCTTTTTACGAGGCTTTCGAGAAGACGATCGCTCTCTTTCTAACCTATGGCAAAATATTCTATAATGAAATATAACTACGATTGTATATATAGCAATTAGTATAGAGATTTAAAGCCAGGCTTTTGGGAATAAATTTGTTAAAAGCGGAGGCGCGCGGGCAATACGTTTGCAAGTTCATTTCACGTTTCAATGTTTATTTACTCTGTGTGCTTAACTTAAGCGATTTAATATTACTAGTTCAAAATTTATGCTTTTTTAAAGATTTTTAATGAAAATGGAGGATAATAGTGTTCCTTGTGATGAATTGAAGTGTGTTAAAGTGATAATCGGAGAGGAACTCTTTAAACTTTGTTTGAGATAATACACAAGGTTAAGAGTGTATTTCAGTCTTATAAATTATCGTAATTAAAAACCTTACCAACATTTTACGTGGACTTAATTAAATCTTTCCATAAGAAAGCGAGACGATTCCACTTATCTCATTTCTTATCCATTAGAATGTAAATATATTTTTTTTAATTTTGTACATAGTTTGTTTGTACTTTGTTCGTGTTTTACTTTTGTTCATGTATTGTATTAGATGTAAATATTTTTTTTCTTTCGCTTTAAACAAACCCAAACGCCTTTCTTCAAAGCCACCGAAGCTATGCAATTGCTGATATGTAATACAATCTATCTAGCAGTGGTATGCCTTCTGTATGCTTTGTTAAACACGTCCTTGACAGCACTGAATATGAAACTGGAGCGTGGAGACAGATCAAGATTGGTGTATTTTTATAGACAGCGACGACCATCCGCGCGTCTACAGTGCCTCTATAGGTCCCATAGCGGTAATGCCGAAACAGACCGACTCTTCGACCACGTCCAAATGGCTACAGATTCGTTGCTACAGCAGATCCCCTCCGCAGAGATCGTGATCCTCGACGACTTTAACGCCCATCACGCCGAATGCCTTGGTTCACGTTTGACCAATCATGCAGGGAGGTCTGTTCATGATTTTGCCTTGGCATATGGTCTGACACAACTGGTTACATCGCCTACGCGGATTCCAGATGTGGAGGATCATGCATCTTCCCTGTTGGACCTTCCGCTGACCTCTCACCCGGACGGATATCAGATTTCCGTCGACGCCCCTTTAGGCTCCTCGGACCATTGTCTTGTTCGGAGTGTGGTGCCACTCACGCTGAAATCGCAGTTGCATTCTGCAGGCTGCCGCCGTGTTTGGTACTATAGGTCAGCCGATTGGGATGGGATGCGGTCTTTCTATGCATCCAACCCTTGGGAGCGGGTTTGCTTCTCGCCGGACGATCCCAACGTTGTTGCGGATTCTGTCGCTGATGTGGTACTTCAGAGTATGGAACTTTTTATTCCTCCCTCTGTGGTGCCCATTGGAGGCAAATCTCAGCCATGGTTTGGTCGCTCCTGTAAAATAGCATCATGCTATTAGCAGGAGTGCTACCAAGCCTGGGCTGACGCATCAACGTCCCGGGATGTAAACACCAGCGCTCTAAAAAAGAAGTATTATTCCGCCTCTAGGTCCTACAAGAGTCATTGCCAAGGCAAAGTCAGAGCACATAGGCAGAATTGGCGAGAAACTAGTTCGCCTTCCTTCTGGAACCCGTGCATTCCGGTCTCTCGCCAAGGCTGTCCAGGGGAATTTCTGTCAGCCATCTCTTCCATATCTGCACAGGGAGGACGATTCACTGACCCATACCGCAAAGGAGAAAGTCGATCTGATAGGCTCTTTCTTTGCGTCCAACTCGACTCTCGATGACGGAGGGAGTACGCCGCCGACCATCCCGCGGTGTGAGTGCTCCATGCCGAAAGTGCAGTTTACACAGCGCTCGGTTCGCAAAGCACTTCTCTCCCTGGACATCCACAAGTCGAGTGGGACTGACGGAATCCCCCCAATTGTACTGAGGACGTGTGCTCCGGAGTTGGCACCGGTTTTAACGCGTCTTTTCCGGTACTCCTACTCCCTAGGTGTAGTCCCGAAATCATGGAAGACGGCTTTCGTCCACCCGATCCCTAAAAAAGGCGACCGCTCAGACCCGTCCAACTACCGGCCTATCGCCATCACCTCCTTGTTCTTCAAAACAATGGAGTCTTTTGTTAACTGCCCGCTCATGATGTACCTTGAGGATCACCAGCTGATTAGTTATCGCCATTACGGTTTACGCCGTGGTCGGTCAGCTGGTGATCTTCTGGTCGACTTAACTCACAGATGGGAGGAGGCAGTAGAGTCCAAGGGGGAGGCATTTACTTTGGACAATGCGAAGGCCTTCGATCGGGTTTGGCACAAAGCGCTTCTTTCGAAGCTCCCTTCCTATGGGCTTCCCGAGAAAATGTGCGATTGGATCACCAGCTTTCTTGCAGATCGGAGCATCAGGGTCGTTGTAGACGGTGCAAGCTCCGATTACAAGCCTATCAATGCTGGTGTTCCACAAGGCTGCATGCTATCGCCAACGCTGTTTCTTCTGCATATCAATGATATGTTGCAAACCCGTAACATTCATTGCTACGTTGATGACAGCACTGGTGATGCTCTGTACACCGGCCGTGCCAATATTTCTCGGGAAAACGTCTCCGAGTACCGGGACAAACTTGTGTCTGAAGAACAGAGACTCGGATTGGGGGCGACTAAATCTAGTCCAGTTTAACCCCCAGAACCGTTAACCGCTAAAAAGAACCCCTTTGTCGTATCTCCTCAGTTTCAGGGCACCCCCCTTGTTGCCTCAGCTAGTATCGGAATCCTCGGCGTCGACATATCGAGTGACGTGCAGTTTCGTGGTCACTTGGAAGAGAAGGCCAAATTGGCCTCTAAAAAGTTTGGCGTGCTCAGCAGATCGTAACAGTATTTCGTGCCGGCACACCGCCTGCAACTTTACAAGGCGCAGGTTCGGCCGCACATGGAATACTGTTCCCATCTCTGGGCTGGGGCTCCCCAGTACCAGCTCCTTCCACTTGACCGCATCCAGCGCAGAGCGGCTCGAATCGTCGACGACCGAGTGCTTTCCGATCGGCTCGATTTGAGCTCTCGACTTTCGCATATACCATGGGGATTGCTCTGAGGAATTGTTCGGATTAATCCCAGCCGCCAAATTTCATGAACGCACTACGCGGCAAACGTCCCGATACCATCCACACCATCTAGATGCTTGGCGGTCCACCATTGTACGTTTCAAAAAGAGTTTTCTTCCGCGTACAACCTCTCTGTGGAATAGTTTACCACCGGCGATTTTTTCGGACCGATACGACCTGGGGCTCTTCAAGAAAAGAGCTTATTCCTTTCTAAAGGGCCGGCAAAGCACCTGCAATTCCCCTGGTGTTGCGGTTGATCATGGGCGGCGGTAGTCACTTAATATCAGGTGAGCCGTATGCTCGTTTGCCCCCTCTTCTATAAAAAAAAATCCTTGTGTCAGATTTTGTAACATAGAGAAACTTCGAGCGCCATTTTCTGTTTCATTTATAGGTATTCCAGTATTAGCCAGACTACTTCACCATACTGACGCAGATGTACTGAGTGATGCTTGTTGGGCTCTCTCTTATCTATCCGATGGACCAAATGAAAAAATTCAAGCTGTTATTGATGCCGGAGTTTGTAACAGGCTTGTTGAATTACTAATGTAAGTATTGTTTTTGAAATTATTTATTGCAAAATTTGGTTTATTTTGTTTTTTACTACTAAGTACCAGAAGAAACGCCAAGACTTGGTCGTTTGCAACAGCCCATAGGGCTCTCTGTGCATTTTTCCACGCGCCCCACACAGCCGTACAGATTTCGTTTCCGGTGTCTCTTCTGGTCTCTTACAGTCTATTAAAGTTCACCGCTGAACATAGGCCTTCCCTGTAGATTGCCTCATAGGGGGGACATTTGCTAATGTTGCCACTTACGTATTGCTTATAGTAAAATCCAATTAGGCATTAAAAACAAAATATCGCATTTTTGCATATACGCTCCTATGGTTTGAGACCAGCGATATATAACCCCATATCATCCTATGGGTGGAGGCAACAGAAGATTATTGGTATGAAAAGACAGCACGAAATATTTTATACATTTTTATGCTGTATCAAGGTTTATATGTAAAATATGACCCTTTTGAGATAACGGGATTTTAAGACATAAAACTAGAGCTCATTTTATCGGGTGAAAAAATAATAAAAAATTATTCTACTTACAGATTTTTTTACAAATATTTAAATTTTTTCATCATCTTCATCATCATCATCATTACAGCCCTTCACAAGTCCACTGCTGAATATAGGCCTCCCCCAAGTAATGCCACAAAGCACGGTCCTGAGCCACCTGCATCCATCGACTTCCTGCATGTCTTACCAGGTCGTCACTCCATCTAGTGTGGGGTCGCCCTACACTACGCCTACCGGTACGAGGCTGCCACTCGAGAACCTTTCTTCCCCATCGGTTATCGGTTCTTCGAGCTATATGGCCGGCCCATTGCCACTTCAGCTTACTAATCCGTTGGGCTATGTCGGTCACTCTGGTTTTACAGCGGATATCCTCATTTCTGAGTTTATCACGCAGTGAAATTACGAGCATAGCCCTCTCCATAGCTCGCTGAGCGACCTTGAGCGTCCTCATGCGGCCAGCGGTGAAGGACCACGTCTCAGATCCGTAAGTCATCACTGGCAACACGCACTGGTTATACACTTTAGTTTTCAGAGATTGAGGTATACCTGACGAGAAGATGTGTCGTAATTTCCCGAACGCTGCCCAGCCGAGTTGAATCCGTCGATTGACCTCTCGGTCGAAGTTGGACTTACCTAGTCGGACTATTTGTCCCAGGTAAACGTACTCGTCAACAACTTCGAGCATACTGCTCCCAACAACTACCGGCATAGGTGTGACATGGACATTAAACATGATCTTTGTTTTGTCCATGTTCATCTTAAGACCTATCCGTTGGGAGACACCATTGAGGTCATTGAGCATAGTGCTAAGGTCCTCCAGCGATTCTGCCATAAGGACTATATCGTTTTTTCATAAAAATAAAATTATAGTTTTTGTCAGTTATTAAGTTTAAAAAAAAACTCGCCTATTAACATATTTTTTATAACTAATATCAAACCTGTTTTATCAGCTACAAAATGATACCAAAATACCTTACCGTTTGTTGAAAACGACCCCACGTAAGTACTTTGGAGTAAGGAGAGCAGGTAGCGGTCCTTTTAGCGACAGGGGAAGGCGATAAAAAAATTTTGAAGTGAAAACTTCTTTAGCATCGTTGTGATTTGAAAGTCTATGAAACGAAAAAACGACAGCAAAAAGAGACAGACATAAATTCATAAGATTTAACGTGGTAGAAAATGATATAGGAAGCTTACAGCTCAATGCTCGCGAGAAAAAGTCGTAAACTCCGTCGAAACGGCGTCGCTTATGCGTTTTGTTCAACAAGGTACGTAGGTGTCGTGGGCATATGGATACAGAATAAATAATAATACTACGTACTATGGATTAAACAAGCAGTGAAGAACGGCCAAACCTCAACTTCGTAATAGGTAAGATTGATATACTCGTAAATCGCTATGTATTCCGGGTTTCGCTACAGCCTGTTGAGCTTGATTACCTTTTGACCAGTGGCGAAGCCTCCATTAAAGCCGAAAAGCCAGGCTTGGCTTATCAAACTGAATCAATCAATAATATCAATCAATAATATCAACTAATAAAATAACTCGTAAACTGTTTCAAACTATTTCAAAGTTCTCGCGCACTCCACTGTTCGACAAAGGTTCACCGATGACCTCGTATTGCCTTAGCGATACTGCTGCTGTCATAAAAATGAGTTTTAATAGAGATATTACTTGTCTCTCTCGCTCGCGTGGGCTTTTTACGGGGCTTTTGAGAAGACGATCGCTCTCTTTCTAACCTATGGCAAAGTATTATATAGTGAAATATAACTACGATTGTAATATAGCAATTAGTATAAGAGATTTAAAGCCAGGCTTTAGGCATGAAGTTGTCAAAAGCGGAGGCGCGCGCGCAATACGTTTGCAAGTTCATTTCACATTTCATTGTTTATTTACTCTGTTTAGTTTAAGCGATTTAATATTGCGTTGAAAATTTATGCTTTTTTAAGATTTTCATGAAAATGGAGGATAATAGTGTTCTTTGTGATGAATTGAAGTGTGTTAAAGTGCTAATCGGAGAGGAAAAGGTAAAATCTTTAAAATTTGTTGAGATAATACACAAGATCAAGAGTGTATTTCAGACTTATCAATTATCGCAATTAAAAAACAGTTATTGGTACAAACGTTCACCAACATTTTACATGGACGTAATTAAATCTTTCCTTAATAAAGAGAGACGATTCCATTTAGAATGTAAATAATTAGTTTTTTTTTTAATTTCGTACATAGTTTGTTTGTACTTTGTTCATGTTTTACTTTTGTTCATGTATTGTATTGTATGTAAATATCTTTTTTTCGTTCGCTCAAACAAACCCAAACGGCTTTCTTGAAGGCCACCGAAGCTATGCAATTGCTGATACGTAATACAATCTATCTAGCAGTAGTATGCCTGTGTGCTTTGTTAAACACGTCCTTGACAGCACTGAATACGAAATTGGAGCGTGGAGACAGATCAAGATTGGTTTATTTTTATAAGACTGCTAAAAACAACAATCTAAATTTTTATCAATTTATATCTTGGGCTTGCCCTAGTTTGGAGCTCTAGCTTCGCCACTGCTTTTGACCATGATCTGTTGAATGTGCTTGTCGTAGGTCATCCACGTTTCATCATCAGTGATTAATCTTTTCAAAAATGGTTCGGTTTCATTACATTACAATAGAAAGTCGCAAATGAGTACACGATTCATTAAGTTTTTTGCACTGTGCTCATGTGGTACCCAAATATCGAGCTTTTTAGTATAGCCAGACTTTTTCAATTGGGTCAAAATTGTTTTTTGGGCAATTTTGAATTCCTCAGGTATGTCGTAACTACTAACATAACGACCTTGTTTCTCTTTTTCAAAAATGGCATCAACTTAATTCGTATGACCTGAGCGAACTGCGTCTTTGACATCAAATTTCCCAGACTGAAAACGCTTGAACCAACTTTGTGCCATTCTTTATTTTTTTCGCGCTTTGAGTCGCATTTTTTTCTATTTTGTAATAAAATCAGAAGGTATCAAATTTCTTTGTTAGATTCACTCATTTTGGCTGGCAGAAAAACAATTGAAAAATGGGTGTGTTTTTTACTTTTCTTTTTCTTAATCTCCTTTATGTTAAAGTCAAAGTATATAGGCTGTAGCCTATATACGTCCCACTTCTGGCCACAGGCCTCCGCTCATTTCTGAGAGGGTTTTAGTGCAAGGAATCGTCCGCCGCACTGCCTGCGTGTTGGCGAACTTCACATGTCTTCGAAATATATTTTTTCTTATTTCTCAGATATGCAGGTTTCTTCACGATGTTTTCCTTCACCGTCGAACACGTGGTAAATCAGCACTTCAAATTACAATTAACAATTTCATTAGTGCCGGCGGTTGATCCTGTTTGATCGCGTATATGTATTGATATTAAAACCAGTCAGATACAAACAGTAAAATCAAAAAGATTTTTCTTCACTTTGTACAAACAAAATACGAAAAAACTTTTTTAAACATTATGTTATTCACGTTACGTCCTATTTGATTTTGCTAGTCCAAGCATGTTAGGTGGCCATTGTTCTTTAAAATATAAAGCATTATGGTAACAGGGGCTAATAGAGGGCTCTTATGCTCAATAAATGTCGCTAGTTGGGCCGAAGTTTATTTTTTACACAGATCACACATCTTGCATCACCATTGAAAAGTTGCGTTTTAAATAAAAGTTTCTATTGTATGGTTTATATTGTTTCTATTGTATATATTGTGTCTGTATTATATACACAATAATAACAAAAAAGGTATATACACAAAAGAATGCCTCAGTAGTGTATTATTTAATTTTTTTATACATTCTTAATTTTTTAAATTATTCTACTTCTAGGTTTATCCATAGTTTGGTTAATCCATTTCAAATCTAATATAAAGTATAACTAATATTTCGGAAAGAAACATTAATCTCTTCACTTCTCTTACAATTAAATTTTCCCCGCTTTGAAATCTGTCAAATATTTCACCTCAATCCTTAGGGCGCTATCTTAATGGCAGAAAATGTCGTGGATTGGATTGGAACCAAATTAGAAATACGAATTCACCTTTGTTATATTTATTATAATTATTATTTATTTGCAGGCATAACAAATCAACAGTAGTGTCTGCAGCACTAAGAGCGGTGGGTAACATTGTGACAGGCAACGACGCTCAGACACAGGCTGTACTCAACTGTAATCCACTTCCTAGCTTACACGTGTTACTTCGGTCCAGCACCGAGGCAGTGAGGAAGGAGGCTTGCTGGACCTTATCTAATATTACTGCAGGAAATGCTCTACAGATTCAGGTATATTATGTGAATATTTTGTAAATAAAGTCAATCTATGAAGATAAAGGAGATGGTCCATTTCAGGCCCAGTATATATATGTACACTATACCGTAAAAAAGCGAAAAATTCAGGGATTTCATTAATATTTTATATAAGAGAATAAATCCAACTAAATAACTTGCTAAAAATAAAAATGCAATCCCAATTTTTGATGATTTTACAAAATGGCGCCCTTCAGTTATAAAATTATATATCAAATGTCATGTCTGATAAATGACTTGCGTCATGAAATTGTGTAGGTAGTGTAATATTTTTTGTTTATTCCGAGCTCCTTGATTACTTTGATATTGATATGCAAATATCGACAAGAACATTACTTGTTCCAAGAGCAAAATAGCACATCCAAAGTTTCGAGACATTTTAGCTATTGTACATAATAAATCTACCTGATACACAGCATTTCAGAATTAAAATATCTGTCAATAAATTTAACAATAACCTCATGACAGTTGACAGCTAACTTCAAAACAACATCAATTCGCCATTAGTGTTACAGTTTTTGGTAAAAATAAAGTATTAATACCACTGAAATAAAGGCAAATTCGTGGATTTGAATGACCAAAAGTGGTTTAATATATTATTTTAATTTATTTACCTACTTATGCTTCATACAATTTCGGACCGTCTCATTTAACCAACACAAAGATTATTACTTACAAATGACACAAAATATCAAGATTTTGAATTAATTAATCACATTATTTCTACATGTCCCAGGTTGACTGGGAGAGAATGCCAAAAGGCATTGAGTCCACCCTTTGTAATATTTTTTATTGATGGATGCAATAAAGTATAAATAAATAAATAATAAAATACTTATGTGTTGAGCCTTGCTGCAGATATATTGTGGTGTTTAACAAATGGGTTGGCATGGCCGGGGAAGGACCACATTTTTACAGAATACTAGCGTAAAAATAGCTGCTTAATGCTGCTGTGCTTCTTAGGGCAGGTGTAGAGAACCGAAGGCACTTTTTATTGGAAACGTGGTATTCCATCATAGTCCTTCAGGGTGACAACACTTTTGCACTTTGATTGAGAATAAATGTATATGTCTATGGGCCACAGTCATCACTTTACCTTCAAGTGGACTGTGTGTTCATTAATTTGTCAATCTTACTTAAAAATAATACCATACTTTAAAAACTAGACTAATTATCGTTAGAATTTATTGAATTTTTAACTTGAAATTTTGTTTATGAATGTTAATACAAATATACAGTCAGCCCTCTCGATAAATGTTTTTAACATTCAAAGCTAGTGGTTATTAAATTGGAAAATGTTTTAAACAGGCAGTAATAGACGCGAACATATTCCCGACACTAATCGAAATATTAAGGCAAGCAGAATTCAAAACCAGGAAAGAAGCAGCGTGGGCGATCACTAATGCAACCAGTGGAGGCACTCATGAGCAAATTAGGTAACAATCACTAAGTTGCTATGTATTATTTCTTTGCTTTTTTATCGACCCGTAAATGTACACTGCTGTACACGGGCTTCTTGTATATACGAGCTGATTATACCGCTATCTATCGGAAACAAGTAAGTACTTTCTGGCATTTCCCATTGTCCATAGTCGTCTACACACAGGAACATGGAGGTTAGAGAGAAGGAGAAGACGTGAAAAGGGCCCCTGTCCCTGAAAATTTTTAGAATTACGCGCTGACGTCGGTGAGTAGTGGCTGCGAAGTTAGCTGTTAGATCAAAGAAAAGAAACGAGAAAATAAAAAAAAAAAAAAAAAAAAAACAGCGATCGTTCTCCTTCTCTTTAACCTCCATGCACAGGAAGAAATGAAGTGATGGATACGCCGCCACTATGCGATGGGTTCTGATTCTCAATGCTGCTGTCACAAACTTACTATTATATACTGACTGGAAATACAACAATGTGGAGTTTCCCAGCTTTTGCCTTACTCTTGATTTCATTTTTGTTATTTATTTGAAAGTAACCAAACGACGAAAAGGCTTGAATAATGTTGCGCGCCTAAGTTGACGTCAGGTACCTGGCACTAGCGCCATCTAGTGTTGGGGTGTAGTGGTTCTCAAACTCGTAACAATAATATAGGTCACATTTAACAGAATCTTTGGCAAATTGTAGAGAAGACAGAGAGATTGTGGCCGATTATGATCATTGAGTACAATCTGCCAGCACGACATAGCCTTGCGTATGTGAGCTATTATATAGCCTTTGATGCCGAAGAAATTTGGATCGTGCTACAGTATATTCAACAGGTGCCCGGTTGATTGTCGGTATATAGAAGTGCAAAGTGTTTGTACAGCAAGGTTACAATGGCTTTACAATAACAATACTAGAGTACGAAACCTTCCCAAAAGCAGAGATCTGTGTGACAGGGTGACGTTATATTTCCGAAAATCTTCCAATGCAGTAGATTGGAAGACGTTTTCAAGCGACTGGAAAGGATACTCTATTAATAAGAATGATCTTCGATTTCCTGATGATATTGTCATAATGGCAGTGAGCTGGATGCTCGTTTTCCCCTTATAAAAAGAAATCGGCAAAACTGAATAATTACTTAGAATCACCTTGGCGTTTCTCGTGTAAATTGATTTAAACCTAGCAACCGCATGTTATAGCATAGCTATAACATGCGGTTTCCTTAAATGTACATGTGTGGTTAAATCGCGAACTAAGCTAAAAGGCTGGTGACATGGAACACTAACAGGTGATCCGATTTTAATATCTTATGGAACTGAGTATTGTGTGGTGATGCCTAAGAAATTCAGCATCTTATTTTGTAAAGAGCGAAGGCAAAAATGCCAGTTTTTAAATATACAAATGTTTATTGATAAGGAAACATTTAAATTGGGAGTAATTTGGTACATCTATCACTAATCGTTCCAGTGAGGATGGTGGCTACGACAAATAGTTCCCTTTTCTTCTTCTTCTTTATTGACTTGTGAAAGTTCACTGCCGGTCATTGAGTACTAGATATCTCGAGTATAGATCCCTGTTGTAGGGAGCATTTGCCTTAATTTTAACGCATTTCTTTTGTCATACATGTCTGGATTTATGTGTTTTTGTTTACTTTTTCATAAATATAAGCTATTACTCCATTATTATATTGTATTGTTAGGGCTCGATTAAGTCCAATCTTTTGTAAACAGCAAGTGTAAACGCACATACGCGTGTATGCATGCGTGCGCTTGCTTGTATGTTATGTGATGTGTCGTGCAAGTGCATGAGTGCAGCGTGTGCGAACGTGTGTATACGTGTGTGCGCGTGCATTAAAATGTGATAAGTTTGTGGCCGATTATGATCATTGAGTACATTAGCTTATCAAGTAGTAAGTAATTTGTAATATTTCCAGTTATCTGGTTCAACAAGGTTGCATACCGCCTTTATGCGACCTGCTAACGTTAACGGACGCTAAGACTGTACAAGTAGCACTCAATGGTCTCGACAATATATTAAAGGCTGGGCAGCAATCAGAACAACTTAACCCTTATGCGGCGCTTATCGAAGAGTGCTTTGGTAAGTTAAAAAATTTTGTTGGTTATGTACGTCACCACAATTATATTTTTAGGACCAAAAATTACGTTTTGTTTAGAATAAAATTAGTTTTGTTTAACAGAGCTCTGAAAAAACTAATAAAAATCGACATTTTACTCTTGAGATACCTTTTGCTTGCCAAGTCTGAAAAATCCTGATGAATAAATTACTAGATTGGTTTAAAAACATCTGTTCAGGAGTGTAGGTATTATCCCTTACAGTTTGATTACACAGGGTATAAAGAATCGTACAGACTACTGTACTGTATCATGAGTTCAAAAAACATGACAACGGGTTTGCGGGTTTCATGAGGAGCAGTAGTCATCACCACTATTACCATCTGCTGCTCTCACGTATCAAAAATTCTAGACCGGCGATGGGGAGCATCGTCAAAAGTGCGAGATATCTAGTATTGCAATTACCAATCGATTACGGCAAAACCTCCCGATTATGGGAAAGTCTGTTTATAATTGAAAATTTAATTTATTCAGTGGCAACTTGTGAAACAAAGTTTAATTTTTAAACAAATTATCTTGCAGGTTTAGACAAAATAGAATTCTTGCAATCGCACGAGAATCTCGACATATATCAAAAGTCATTCGAGATAATCGAGAATTACTTCGGTTCTGAAGGAGAGGATGGTCGTTTGGCGGCAGAAGTATCCTCTACTACCGGACAGTATCAGTTCAGTACCGACCAGTCTGTACCAATGGGCGGTTTCCAGTTCTAACAGTGGACATTACTTATACGTGCACATATATATGGACTGTAAGTATTTCATTTCAATTTATTAAATCCTAGAAATTTCCTGTGTATATGTGGCGAATAATCTGCGAGCATTCTCATTGGGATGAACCTTATCGAACTTGCTCGAAAATTAAAGTTCGAGAGCGAAAAGTGAGGCTAGTAATAAATGTCCTAAATATTATTGTCAATGCGTTAAAAGAGCGACTTTGTTCTTGTGCGAAATATTTATCAACTGCCAGATAATATAATTAATAGCATGATTGACTTTTTTTCGTTTTTGTTTTATTGTTGTTTACACAATAACATTAATCACAAAAAATAACATTAATATACATAAGCAAATACGTTGAGTAATAATTCTATCGTCTTGCGAGCTATGGACGCGAGTTTGCCAAACTGGAAGAGAAAGAGTATCGCAAACTCTGGGATTCAAGTTAAAAAGACGCAGTCGTTTAGTTGCCAAACAAACTATTAGAAGCCTATTACAGGCCCGCAAGTATGCAACTAAAATTAACTTTAATCGAAAGCAAAACTCCTCTATATAATTTTACAGAATGCGTGAGTAATTTAAATAGATCGATAATTGTCATGATAAGAATGGCTACATATTTTGGGCGCCATTTTAACTGGGGAGGACAAGTTTGTCTCCATTGCTTTGACAAAGGTCCAAAAAGCTTTGTTATTGATTGACACTGACAATACATCTAAATGTTCAATATTTGGTGACTTGGTTTTGAAGCTCTCTTCTCTTACATCGGTTTATCCAAAATAACGAATAAGGGAATTGAAATATTCTGTGTTTTTTAGATTCAAATACCATAAAAAGCCTTAATATTTGTTTGAATAAGTTTACGCACTGAAAACAATCGTAAAAATCTTCCTGGCAGACGTTGGTCAGTTCTTTTAGGGTGTAGATGTAAAATTTATTAGTAACTCGACCCACATCGTCACTTATGGGATCCAGGTTTTGTGATTCTCTTTGTATTTAACCAACCCCTAGCCCGTAGGTTTTCTTTTCTGCACAGGCGTACTATTTCGAAACTCACTTAAATCCATTTTAAAACGTTTTTTTTACAGATGCCTGTACCCAGAAATGGATCAAATCCTTATGGGTTTCGGCGAAATAATCTACATCGGAGTGTGTTTACGTTTTGCATCGCGACCGTTGATAGAGGGATTAACTGCAGGAGATTAGAAATCATATTTTAATATCAAATTATTAATCTCGCCTCTTTATTTTTTATTTGCTTTTGTAGATAAAGGCGTATATTGTTCATTTATTGTAATATTGTATAAAATATATTTCGTTGGCTTTTATGTCGCTTATTGTTACTAAACCATTGTATGTTTGTTATGTAATAAAGAAACATTTTTGTTCGTTATATATTCTTATTGGTACCAAAACATTCAAGCTTTGTATTATATATTGTAATATAATATACTAATTAGATATATTAGCATTTCTTTAGAGATTTTATTTCTTACAAGAAAAACACCCTATATTTAAATTTTTACTGCACACGAAATTTACCGCACATTCAGAGCATTTTCCCCTGCCTTGACGTTACCATTGTCACCACTATAGCCAGAAAAAGCGGGGACGTTCGGGGATCTGGGGCCGTTTCTTTATGCTTGGCAGTCACGGGTTTTCTTAGTTATTAGGAAGATGGTACTGCCGTTATAGGTAATCCTCATTTTTCAAGTTATGTTTATGAAACTTAGTATTTTGACTCTTGATTTTTATATTATATATCCATGAAAATTGGTAAGTAATTTATTTTAGGATTAGGGTACAAAGCGACTTTAAATTAGTTTTCAATACAAATATTGTTGTTCGTCGTTGATTTTATCATAAAACATTTAAATTAAATATCGACGGTTAAAAGGTAACAGGGCAACAAAAGCAAATTGTTCAGGAGAGCAGTTTAAAGTTTGAAATTGCAGAAAAATGGACAAAACTTTTTTATATATTGTCGTAAAGAAAAGAGCTCTAAAATCAACAAAAATAAAAGCATTAATTGGCTTTTTTATTTATTTGATTCAACGTTATTTTATGTGGTTTTATGTCGCTTAGATCAATTGATCCTATTTTCCATATGAGGTAATTCGGCGTAAGTTACATCTACAAGGAAAAAAAAACGCACAGTATAGAAGACTTAGCTACTTTTGATATCTACTATAGAATAACTTAAATGGGTAAAAAAGGATACGTGACGATTCACATCAATTTGAAAAAAAGGTAATGGAGCATAAGAAACAGCGCTTAGAATAAACATCGTAGGGATAGTAGTAGGTCTTTGATACGCCAAAGCCTGAAGATAAAAAAGTGCACAATCATCACAATGTAGTGTTAACGACAAGTTAACTATTGGTCAACAGTATCTTCCATGTCAGTATCGGGTAAAGTATCTTTCATCTTTTTGTGTAGAAAGTTAAAGCTAAATACTCTGCCCGAAACTGTTGAGGTATAACTTGGTCTGAGCAAAGCTTCAATAAATTTTTGTGTTTATTTTCAGTAATTGGCAAGGGTGTAGGATAGCAGTCCGGTAAGTCAAGAAATTTTGTTTTGGACGCGATTTCAATACGGGACAATGATGTTTCCGGATTCATAGAGAATTTAACCGTTGCTGATATACGGTTCTTTTTAAAAGTGCCGACTCGTATTTTACTTATTTTAGCCACAAACTACTTGTCTGCGAATAAGTCCCATCTCTTTGTGAGTTAACTGCTCAACATCAATGTGCTTTTGTTTTGTTAATGGTGTTGCAACACCATTGGGAAGAAGCCCAGATAGTGGTATGTTTAACATGGTTTTCAATAGTCGACTGTAATATAGTTATGACCGGTAAGTAAGAAATTTATTTGAATAGATTCAAGAGTTCTGCAACGTCGCAGTCTCGTTCAGCATCGTAAGAACTATCTTGTTTCGATTTTGCCCGGGATAGCAGTCACAATAAAGAAGAATTCGTCTTATATTTCCGCGTTCTTAAAGCTTCGGTATGTATAGTTGCCGACAAGTGGTGAGCACAGATAAACTGTGGTGGGAGCTAGGTACACTGTCGGGCAAAATTATTGGATACCTTTATTATTTCAATTCGTAATTTAATATTTTCGGCGACTTTTATGAAAATGTTTACTCAAACACATCAAATTTTACTTTGATACAGTAATGTTGCTGATATTATTGTCCGTTATTTTATTATCTACTATAAAGTATTTAATGTATACCTGGTGGTTAGAATTGATTATTTTATTAAGAAGAAGGAAGAGGTGATATGCCTTCCATAAAATCTGGTGTCGCCTCAGCAGTCGATTTATATACGTCTATGATGTTTTTCGCAGTACCTAATTTTTTCATGTAACTAAACACTGAATAGAAAATTTGTCGGGATTTTCTATTTATCATCGAATTCTTCCTTCTCTGCATATTTAGACCAAAATCTGAACACTCAAATTATAACAACAAAAATAATTAAAAACAAGAAATAATAAAAACAATTAATAACAAGGAATACACAAACAACAATTAACAACGAGCTGACAAAAACAATTAACGAACATAAACTTATTAAAAAAGTTATTAAAATTATTGCTCTGAAGTGTACGGAAGCCGAATGATACGTTCAAAACCAATAGACGACGAGAATCGACTAATGAACCAATCACGTTGAACGTCAGCGTGGTCAACGTCGTATCGACCAATAAAAAGTGTGCTCACGACTTATGTCGGCAGTTATATTTGTTTAATTTTGTAGCCATCTCATTAGCACCTCCGTTACCCTGGCTTTCGTTCCAATAATAGCAATAAACATTGCGCGTAGCATTTTCATAAACAACTGCTTTGTAAACGGCCAGCTTGCGTGTATAAAATAACATGCTATCACCATAGGGTGTGTTCAAGACTTTTTGTAAGCCAAAACTTATACAAATGGATGCTGAGTCTTTTAAATGAATATTTTTGTGCATATTGTAACGATTGTATGTGTGGTCTTTCTCAATAAGGTGTTCTTGGTGAGCTCGTCGTTGTTCTGCTGTAGGATCAGTTTTATTTTCGTACTGACAACGTATCAGGCATTTGTCTTTTTTCGGGATATGGAATGCTATATTAAAGTTTTCATTGATAACTTTTCGAAAAATGCTCTCTGAAACAAACGTCAGTCCTTGAAAGCTACAATAGCCTTTATAAGTACTTTCTATATAATTAAAAGCCAAGGGCCAAGTTTTCGTATTCTACTGGAAGGTATGTTCGAGTACTATCCTTCCTACAATAATGAGAAGGAACCGCTGGTAAACTTTTTATACAGTTTTCAACTGCTGTGATTTCATCGTTGCCGGTTTTATTGGGAGGTAAATTTTTACCTCTTTCAGATTCTTTGCCACTACCAAACTGACAGGCAGTCGAAACCGTATAATAAATATATTTGTGTGACACAACGATCGTTCTGCACAAGAATTGCAGACATATTTGTCGATGAGTTTCACCATCCGTAATGTTGTACTTGTACGCTGTGTTGCGTTTTTTTGTGCGTTTTTTTTGAGTCCTTATTTCTCTTTCTTTTGATATTAGTTTTCTGGTTTAGGCTGATGATCCAATCCTTTCTTATCTCCAAATTGCTTGAAAATGCTTATCCTTCTTTCTTCTCCGCAGTTGTTTCCACATATCTTACCCGCACAAAGGTTTGATTGAACTTTTTGAAGTGAAAACTTTTTAGCGGCGTTGTACATTTTTTGTAATGGGTAAAAAATGTTAAACTCGCGTCAGGACACGTGACCCTGATCGAAAATTCGTAAGACGGATGGTGAGAGAGAGACAGCCGGTGCGGCCTAGGAGAGGAAGTATCCTCCTCTCTTTCTACGGCGCCTGCCGTTTCGTTTAGGCGGTGCAGGGCGCTTGCGCGATTGTTCGCGTGTGATAATTAAAGCAATTCGTGCAAAATTATTCCCTAGCCATTCCAAAATATCAAAAATGCACAACATTAATATTCAAGTTTCCACTTCTGCCAGCACTCCCGGAGTGCGACCCGTCGTTTTTTTTTCTTGAACAACTCCGTTTGTTTTAATGTAACAGACCAGATAACCGTTTTTGAGCAGCTTGTTTTCTCTTATTTTTAGGAATTTTTTCGTCGTTTTGTTACCTACAATCTCTTTTTCAACGTCAATAGTCATTTGCTTCCTTTTCTTTCCGTTTCCTTACGGCTCCCATTCATCTGAGCTTCCTGCATCTCCAAAGGAATTTAACAAAGCTATCTTGTCGTCTGACATATAACCTAAATAAGGTTGTTTCTTTGCTGGACGAGTGATTCTAGTTGAGGTGGATTTAGTGTTGTTAGCGTCGGTTCCTGAAGATGTACCTGGAAGAACTGTAGAAGAATGTGCTGGGAACATCTCGGAGCGATCTTCCTAAGAGATTTGACTCGGTTTCTGGTTGTGTAGAGCATGTTAAACTCGCGTCAGGATCGCGCAATTCTAGCATGCAGCAGACGCAGCGTCCGTCGCGGATTCCGTGAGAACGGCAGACGTAGCATCTATATAAGGTTTCGTGAAGACGGCAGACGCAGCGTCGGGCGCGGATCTTGTGAGGGTGGTAGATGCAGCATCTGAGGATATCAGACACAGCGTCGGGCGCGGAGCTCGTGAGGATGGCAGACGCAGCATCTGTAGTAGGGCTCGTGAGGACGGCATATATAGCGCTGGGTGCGGAGCTCGTGAGGGTGGCAGATGCAGCATCTGTAGCAGGTCTCGTGAAGACGGCAGACGCAGCGTCTGTAGCAGTGCTTGTAAGGACGGCAGACGCAGCGTTAGGCGCGGAGCTAGTGAAGATGGCAGTTGCAGTGTTCGGAGCTGGACTCGTAAGGATGGCAGACACAGCGGTCGCGGCAGTGCGGAGCTCGTGGGGATGGTAGGTTTCTGAAAAAAGGGTAGGTAGGTAAGTAAAATAATTATAAAATGTTCGTGCGTGTGTGCCTTCATGTATTGTGTATTTATAATACGTTTAGTTTTGTTCCAGTTCTCATGATAAGAAATCGCAATATCTTTTCTGTAATAATACACTTTGTAAAAATACTTGCGCATCTGCAATTTACTAGTTTATTTTTGAGTACCTACAGTTCTTCATAAGTTCGTGTATTTAGTATTAAGATCATCTTGTATTTCTTATGTTAAGTGAATTGTGTTATGTACGAGGAATAAATATCTTAAACCGTTTCTTAACAGTGGCACATAACGCTACCTAAGTTGCGATGGGTCGTTTCGATGGATGTGTTTTATAAATAACATAACGTTATCATTATGGTGCAACGGATAACGTTATCATAACTATCTATATTTATAACTTCCTATTTTTCATGTAACGGAACATAACAATATCCCCTATAGTTCATAAAAGATAGCTTGATCTCTACGACAGCTGTCAGTAAAATCACGCCTATGAAGTCCTGAATTTCTTAGTAGTACAGAAAAACTGACCTCTATATATACAAGTATGCTGGACTGGCTATACACCGTGACATCATGAGGCAATTTGATTTGCGCCATTTTGGCGTTGACAGCAGAAGTGCACGTCCACGGAACTAATAATAGGGATAAGACAGAGTGACAAAATATATCGATAAAATTCTATACCCTACCTATACCTAAATAAATAGAATGGACTCTATGGATAGATGGACTTTACCCGTAACGTTCATTCTATGTATATATGTGTCATATTAATATAATGCCATTACTATTCATCGTCATTAAAGCCCTTCACAAGTCCACTGCTGAACATAGGCCTCCCCCAAGGAATGCCACAAAGCACGGTCCTGAGCCACCTGCATCCATCAACTTCCCGTATGTCCTACCAGGTTTTCCACTCCATCTAGTGGGGGAACTTCCGACACTCCATCTGCCGGTACGAGGCTCCCACTTGAGAACCTTTTTTCCCCATCGGTTATCGGTTCTTCGAGCTATATGGTCGGTCAATTGCCACTTCAGCTTACTAATCCTTTGGGCGATGTCGGTCACTTTGGTTTTACTGCCGATATCCTCATTCCTAAGTTTATCCTCCTAAGCTTTCCAGCTTCAGCAGTGCCACGTATTCTAGGGGGCTTGACATATCGCAATCCATGAGTTCTTGATCGAACACTTGCTTACCTTTGTCGGTAGATGTTGTGTAAGAGGAAGCTGCCAAAAATTGTGAATGTAAACGATGGCCAGAATTTGTAAATAAGAAAGAAAAGTAAGGCACTACGAAGTTAAGGCACAAATTAAATTTTGAGACTCGAGAGAGAATTAAATGTCTAGACTCGCACTTACTAAAACCCAATGGCAGCCCCTCCTTAGTTGCAGACTTCTCCTCCTCGTTTTCATTCTCAGATAAGGCGCACCAGAAACACAAGCCACACTTCTCTTCATGGCCTCTAACTCCACCTGCACTACGGACTCCCCGAGCCCGATATGTGAATGGAGCCAGGGAAAAATGAGCACTTGGAAGCATCAAGTGGTGCAACCTCACTAAAGTCGAGAAAGATAGTCGAGTGGCGCATCGCCAATTATCATACCAACACTCCTCTTCCCTTACGACTCCACCTCGACTACAGCGGTACAGGGAGAGGAATCTCCTCTAGCCGCAGCCCAGTAACATACATCCAACGTGGTTCGACATCATCAGGCGATCCTACGACACTTGGCTATGGCCCTTGAGTATGGTGGAAAATGAGGAGACATTCGAAATAATAATCTAATACTTTTATACTTACTGGTACTACCAGAAAATATTGTCGGTATACTGCACTTTTTCAAAGTTTTTTTTGTAGGATAGGGTGTCAAACAAGCACACAGTCCACGTGATGGTAAGTGGTTGCTGTGGTCCATAGATATCTGCATCTATCCTCTATTACGAATCAAATTGCAGATGCATTATCACCCGTGAGGACTAAGATGGAATGCCTCGTTTCCAGTAAAAAGGGTATCCGGTTCTCCACACTCACCATATGAAATACAGCAACATTAAGCTACTATTTCACGCTGGTATTCTGTGAGAGCGTGGTCCTTCCCCGATCTGGTTGCGCCCTCCTTTCTCTCAAGGAGGGTCGCGTCCGTTTACGGCTTAATGATCTCTCGTCAGATCGTTAAGCCAATCCCAAAAGGAGGCGTTTAGTGGGTAATAAGCATGGACGTTTTCAGTTTCTATCTGCAACGGTTACATAACCGATATCTAGTTTCCATATCGTTATTGTAAACCGTTTTCAGATATCGATATCAATAGTAACGGTTTGCTACTGAACGTGCAAACGACAACTGAAACATAACCGCAAACTGTACTACCACTGTAGTTACTTGTTTGGACGCCGTCAATACATCCGTATTGAAGATACTTATTCTTCGTGGTGTTCTCTAGATGCAGGCGTATCACAGGGTGGCGTGTTGTCTCCTCTACTTTTCTCATTTTTCATACGCTCTATTACTTCAGGAATTTCTTCGCTCTACCATCTTTATGCAGACGATCTCCAAATATATTCTCAAACCAGTGTTGAAAAACTTCCATCCGCCGTGATATCCACAAATCGTGATCTCACAATCATTTCTGAATTTTGCAAATTTTATGGAATCGAGGTTAACCCTAGTAAAACACAGGTAATAGTGATATGTAGCAGCAAACTACTACAAAAAATTACATGGCATACGCTGCCCTTTGTTTGTTTTGAGAATTCTATTATTCCTTATAGTAAGGTTGTAAAAAATCTAGGGGTTCTAATTGACAGTACAATGTCTTGGGGACCTCAAATTGAACAGATAAGCAAAAAAATGTTTGCAGCTTGTGGAAGTCTTAAGAGACTCCAAAATTTCCTGCCCATTTCTACCAAAATTGCGTTAGCACATTCCATTTTGCTACCTATTTTACACTATGCTGATATATGCTACACTGATATTACCATGGAGCAATTAAACAAGCTTGAGCATCTTCAGAATTTGCAATATGACCACCGCTAGTAGTCATAAGTTTTCATTAGTAGTCATAACTTTGTTAAAATGCAATAAAGAGTTATTTATCTATCTATCTATCTACCAGTGCAACATTTATTTTATGAATTACATAGATTATTCTAGTTTAGAAATCAGAGGATCTATAGTCAACCAAATCTAAGAAATACCTTTTGACGTTTCACATTAATCATTCCGCAATAACTTTGCACAAGCGTACTCTCACGATTTAAAATAACCTTTTACGTAAATACGAAGAATTATGAAGTTATCTATATTTCATTACAACGCTTATGATTTTTTATCACTTATTTGAATTTTTCAAACAAAGCTAAATATTAAAAAATAACTAGTATTAACTTTTTTTACTTGACGTCGTTTCAATGACATGTCGCTATATATATTACCGTAGTGTTTGGATGATTAAAATTCATTGTTATGCGAATAATCGGAAAAATATTCAAATAATCGGTAAAAATATTCTAATAATCGAATCATTAATTTCTTTAACCTCCTCACTACAGGGACCACTTTTTATGTCAGATTCAATTCATATTCGGGATTTAAGCTGTTTAAGGGTTACTTTTTAACTGAAAAATTACTGAAGAAAATCTGTTCCCATAACAAAGAGTTTTTCCTTATGTCCTGCCACTAGGACAGATACAGGCTACTTATATTTTCAGGACTATTTTATGTTCTGCATACAAGACAATTACAGCCAATGTGAGTATATTATTGTGTGATGAAATAAGATAAGCCCATAAAGTACTCAATTTTTTATTGAAAAGGCATATTATTAAACTTTAAACTTAACTTCTTCGTTATTTATTTTGAACAGATAATATTTTTATAACATTACTTACCTATTGATTTAAATTGTACATAAAATCAGTCTCAATAAGTCAGTCATCAACGGTTATAGAATCATATCTAGCATACAAACAATAAAAAATGACACCATTTGCGTAGCTATAATTGAAAAATAAGAAAATAAAGCCTCTGAAAATAATTATGGATTATGAAAAGCTTCAAAACAGTTTCTCTGAGTCGTGAAACATAAATACACAGCACATTTTTTGCAGGTAACTGTAGTTTTTTTATAACAACCCTCATTTCTGCATCTATTTAGCTTTGAACTGTGTTGTGGCATGTGATTAGCTTTTCTTTGACGAATAGCTTTAGTTGGTAACGGAACTATAGTAGTCTTACGTTTCTTGTGCTTTGGTAAAAGTTCTTCAAACTCATCAGCAGGGTCATCTGTGTCTGTAGAATCTAAGTTATCAGCAATTAACTTCTCACCAAGTTCCATCTTAAATTCACGTATGCCTATAACGTTTTTAACGCCTTTTTTCTTCTCTCTCTCTCTGTTTGAACTGAAGGTATGAGTTAGCAACAGCCAAGTCTATCATATGAGAAATTACTCGTATTGTCCACTTTTTTGTTCTGTTACGTGAAGGGCATACAGTTAACATTCTATCAACTAAATCTACACCACCCATATTTTCGTTATATTCTTTGATAACTTCAGGGCGACTTACACGTTCATACACTTTGTTTTTCTTCGACCATCTTTCACACTCATCTGCATGTCGATTAGATAAACGCGTTGACAACATCACCACGGGCTTATTGTCCATCCAACGTGTCACTGCCATCTTGCCATCTACTCGTGTTTTTATTTCGCAATAACCCCGTTGTTTTTTCATAAAACTCTTATCTTCTTCCATCATACAGTTTTTGGGCAATCGGTTTCTCATAATTGTTCCAGTCGCGTGAAAACCTTTATTCAATAATTCATCACACAATTTAATAGTGGTAAAATAGCGATCAAAAAAGATGTGGTGACCAGGGACAGGTGCTTCGGTCAGCCGAAGAATAGCTGCTTCTCCGAGACCAAAACCCATCTGTCTAATTTCTGGAAAAATTGTGTCTCCTTGATATATCTCAAAATCTATAACCATTCCCTGAGGCGTTGCTAAAACAAATACTTTTAACCCTAAGGGATTAGGTTTGTTAGGGTTATATTGACGAATACAACATTGACCAGTAAACGGAATGATCATTTCATCAATAGACATTTTTACTGTGCGAGGTTGAAGTAAACATCCTTGTCGTACTTTCTTGAAAAGGGGACGCACTTTCCAAATCTTGTCTTTTTGACGCTCTTCGACGGTAACATTAAGATCATACACCACTTTTAACGACGTTCTAATTGCGTAAAAACGCAGACGTGTCATAGCTGATGTTATGTTAGGCTGTTTCCATTTAGACGACCAATACATGCCTATTTGAGGATATTGTAATGAAGCCATAATCATTGTCACTCCAATATAAACTTTTAATTCTTTAACTGTAAGACCAAGTGACTTGCCTCTTACATGAACTGCTGTTCTGTTTGTACAATGCACAATTTGTAAGAGTATTTGTTCTTCTATATAACGTTCAAAGAACTGTTCGTATGACCATTCATGGTCGAAATTTGGCACGTATGTTGGTTCATACAGATTTATTTCGAGAGGTTCAAAATTTCCAGTCCATAATTCCACAACATCCACAGGTTGAGATTGAGACGATATTTGTCTGTAGGTTGGCTGAACTGACATTTGAGGGCGACGAGAAGATCTTGCTCGGCGTAAATCAGAGCCAGTTGCCTGGCGTATTATAGGTCCACTCGATAAAGCCGGCGATGGTGGCTCAACAACTGAACTAGAATCGTACCTTCGACGCTCTTGTGTAGCGATTTCCGTGGGTTCATTATATGTGGGATCTTTGGGTAGTAATGCTAGCACGGTATCGTCAGAACAGGCTAAACAAATATCAAATAAAATATTATTTACACAGGACATAACAATATTGCAGTGTCTGCATGATTCCTAAATACAGGACATATAATTTTTATACCCAATGAAAATAAAATCATGGCAGAATTCGCGTAAATATTGACAAATCAAACTAAATCTGTTATTCGAAAACGTAATATATTCAAATTAGAATAACTTTTGATAGAAATAGCAACATTTTTATAAGATTCAGAAAGATTGAACTTACCAATGCCCGAGCGCGGCTCGATACGTCTGGATCTCGAAGCCATTTTGGCAGAATTGACCTTCAGTTGAGCTGTCAAATATTTTTATATACCTACAATAATCTTCAATAGATGTCTTTAGGGGTTTTTATTTGACGTGACGTGAATATTTAACTCGCAAGATTTTTTATATTTTTATGTTCTATAGGTAGTACAAGTTCAGTGAGGAGGTTAATGTATTATTTGTTTAATTTAATTTTTATTTTCAAAATTCCTTCAATTACATGAATCATGAATAAAACAAGTTTATTTTTTCACTTGGTCAGAGTAAATTTTTGTAGGAAAAAAAACTCATATACGAGGCCGTGCTAATATAACCAATACATAATTTCAACATCCCCCCATTTCGGTACCAGTTACTCGACTCCACAGAACCAGTAATTCGTATTTGAGGCGATGTATACGCTTTTATAACAAAATGTCAGAAAATATACAAAATTTGAGGTAAGTACACAAAGTTCAAAAATTTTATTAAACTAAGTTTGTATAAAAAGGGTTATTTTAATATTGAGAAATTTATGGATGATAATAACAGGGGTTCCCAGGGGGGAAGGGTGAATCCAAGCTATTTCTAATTTGTTTTGTGTTGTTAATTGTAATACGCATGATTGTAAGCTCTTTTTTTTAAACTTGTCCCGTTGGGTTTCTTGCTGGTTCTTCTCAGGACAGAGGTTTTTTTTGCGAACCAGTGGTAAATGAAAAAAGTGACTTTAATCAGTATTATTCATAATCTATATTCAATAAAAAAGTTTCTGTTTCTGTTCCTGTTTCGAGAGCTTACTGTGTGTAATTTTGTAATTTTGTGTTTTTGTGACTCGGCTTTAACTTTTTGGACTGTTTCTTCTATAATAACTTTTTTACGTGGTAAAGCCACGCTACATCTATATTATAGTAGTAGCACGAATGGGTCGGATCAACCAAAGCAGGACCACGCTCTAACAGAATACCAGCGTAAAATAGCAGCGTAATGCTGATGTGTTTCATATGGTGAGTGTAGAGAACCGGACCCTTTTTACTGGAATCGAGGCATTCCATCTTAGTCCTCAGGGGTGATAACGCACTTGCTTTTTGATTCTTAATTGAGGATAAATGTGTATGTCTATGGGCCATAGCATTCATTTACCATCAGGTGGACTGTGTGCTCGTTTGTCACCCAATGCTGTAAAAAAATTCGTTGGAGCATGTGCCCATGTCACAAAGGATGATTGGGCAAAAGTGGTAGAAAAAACAAAAATAATTATGCATGACTTAGAAAGAGACATTAAATTTGACTGCATTATTGAAAATCAAATAATAATTAGTATAAACAACGATATCCCTACTAGTTCTACTGAAAGTGATTGAATAAATTTATTTTTAATCTAGTTTCAATCTTAAGTTTTTATAACTGTGCCTCTAAAAAATAAGCAGTAACAACAAATACGAAGAAACTGATAAACCTTGTGTTTTAAATTATCCGTTTTTAATTTATTCTGGTATTATTCAAACCAAACTGTTAATGATTACCAACTCTAAATAATCCATATCGATTTTTTTAAGAATTGAATATTTTGCGTTCCCATTTTTTGGTTGGCATGCTTGGTGCAATAAGTCTGACAACTGTCAAAATGTATTTCTTAGATTTGGTTGACTTTAATGTTATTGTTATCTTAGATGTAATATTTTAAACATGTATGTTAATATATAATTTTTGTAAATTCAATGCTATGCAGTAATAAATTATACCGTCATTGTTACAGCTTATTAAAGTCCACTGCTGAACATATAGGCCTCCACATAGACTGCACCATAGGTGGGATATTCGCAACCTTTTTGTGTGACGAAAAGCGGTGGGTGTAAACACTACGTACTTACCGGGCATTCGGTCGATAATTCAAATCGCAAATGCAGGGCATTACATACCATAAGGTATATAGTAGTACAATTACAAGATTACAACGGACTTTTGTTCAAATACTAATCTTATATGAATTTTGTTTAACCCTTAACTTGATACCGTATCTAATAATGCACATATTCTAAAAAAAATTATTGGCAAATATTTTAGCAATCTGGGACTAAAACTATATTCTATTTAGTATATGAAATCCTTCTTTTAGGCAATAAAAATATTATTTATTATGTATGCAACATTTGAAGTAAGTAGATCGCAAAACGGTGGAGTATGCGCATGCGTCTACGAGTTATAAGGTAAGGATTGATTAAAATCCTATCAAAATATAGTTGCTACTACAGATATATGTGATAATTCAGTAATTGATTGTATATTGTTTTGGTTATGTAAAAGATTTTGATCGAACTATGATATTTTCTATCTAAAATATTACGGTCAATGTTCATGTATCTACAAATGCACATCACCAAGATCCGGTACTATGACCTGACTTTTGGAGTGTGCACTATAGGACACATTGCCATACTTACAACACTAGAGAGTACTTTTTACTGTGTGCATTTTCAGACATATTACCAAGTACGAAACGTTACGGAAATCGTATTTATTTATCTGTATATGTAGGTATGAATGGTTTATTTACTTTTTAGGCCGGTACAAAACTTACAAAATGAAGACGACTACAGGGAGGTATTAGTCCCAGCCGAAAATGCGGGGGATATTACGAGGCACGTGAGTTTGTTGAATAATTTGTCCACGTCTAGTGCTGCTGCTTCTCTAAACAATGTAATAGTCCCAGCGACACCTGCACCGATCTCTTCAATAGCTAATAGCTCTACACATATATTACCCGTACCATCACCATGAAATGCTACTCGATCCAGCAAAAGAGTTCACCTAGTCAAAAAGACTGTAGTTAAAAAAAACTTGAAGTTAAGTGAACAACTGCAAGATACACTGCTGAAATCACTGATAAAATATTCAACGAACGTTCTGACACAAAATCATTGTTAGAATATGTCAAACTTTGTGATTGTAATTTGTGTAATTTATATCATATGCAAATAAAGGGCACGGCCATGAATTTGACTTGGGATGAAATAAATGATTTTATTGCTATTTACATTCTCATGGATGTCGTACATTTTCCAGCTTATACGGATTATTGGTCTCAGATACAGAAAAATGGCAGATATCATGATACTGAAAAGATTTTAACTGATCCGGCATAATTTGCATTTTGTGGGCGCTTTAGGCAACGATGGGGATCATAATTACAAATTAAGACCTCTGTTAGAAAAAAAAAAAACGCCAAAATTTAATAAATACTGAAGAGGAAGACTGGTTCAGTGTGGACGAAATGATGGTGTCGTATATAAAATGGTAATTTATAATATTCGTTAGAGCAGAGATATCTGGAATGGAAGTGGACACATTTCAATTTCGTCAATTTAATGAGAAGAAAACAGTATGGGATTGGAAGCTAAAGTTGTCATAGCGTTGCAAGACAATCAAAGAGGCTGCTTGTAAAGTGATTTATTTTGATATTTTTTACCTCTATAGAATTAGTTTATCACCTGAGAAATGAGTACGGGATATTTTCGTTGGGAACAGTGAGACCAAATCTTTTTCGTAGAGGAATCAAAAAGCTACCTTTTGATAAAATTTTGAAAAACCGAGGCTGCGGAGCTTTTTCACATATTACTTATAATGAAAGAAAAGTATCTGCTTTTGGATTAAGCAATTAGTAGTAGTTACCAGGATTTTTTTATTTTCATGCGTCTTTTTGTGTTTAAATATGTTGATTGATCTCATAAATTATGAGATCGCATTATTTAATAATGTTGTTATATTATTAAGCTTTATAATTTTTATTTTTGTATTAATTTATAGGTATGTGATAACTGTGACTGTAGTGATAATTATAATAAAGAAGTTGAAGTTTTGTTTCTACTATAAGTCGAAGATTGTGTTTTTAAATATTTTTATATAGATATTACATGTTTAAAACAGTAAATACGTTAATTGTTCTATAAAAATATATATTTTTATTTACTACCTACCCAGTAATGTATCCTATAGAGCATATGTATATTCAAAGATGAATGTCTGGCCACTTGGTAGTGTGCATTATTAGATACATGGTATAAAAACAAAACCAAATATGGCAGATTTTTTAATTTATTTTTTAGTTGTCCTTTTAGCACCTATCAACCCAAAAATATGACAAAAATATAAAAATAATGACATCATAAAGTTTGCCAAGTTAAGGGTTAAGACAGTTATAATTGCCGACACAAGTTGTGAGCACACTTTTTATTGGTCGATACGACGTTGACGACGCTGACGCTCAACGTGATTGGTTCATCAGTCGATTCTCATCGTCTATTGGGTGCGAACGTATCATTCAGCTTCCGTACACTTGAGAGCAATATTAGTGATAACATTTTAATTAGTTTATTTTCGTTGATTGTTCTTATTACCTCGTTGTTGATTGTTGTTTGTGTATTCCTTGTTTTTAATTGTTTTTGTTATTTCTTGTTTTTAATTATTTTTGTTGATATAATTTGAGTGTTCAGATTTTTGTCTAAATATGCAGAGAAGGAAGAATTCAGTGTTAAATAGACAATCCCGACAAATGGTCTATTCGGTGTTTAGTTACATGAAAAAATTAGGTACTGCTGGCTACTATGCCGAAATGTCTCAACCTTATACATATGGTGGTTTGCGCGAATTAGTGAGTGCTGGGTAGATTTTCCCTTGTGTCTTTGAGGTTTATCATCATGGTATTTTATACGAGAAATTTGGTGGAGAAGAAAACCCTGTACATAGATTACGCTCTAGTACTTCGCACGATCTCTCTAATAGACATTTCGACGTTTACCTTCTTGTAGATATGTCGAATTCAGTCTCTACTTCTCAGATTGAAAGTTCTTCTACTTCTCAAATTGAAATCTTTTCTACTTCTGAGAAAAAGTGTCTCCAGGCTAGATATACTAAACTAGTAAAAAACTAGATCAAAAAATGTAGTAAGGGTTCATCGTAGCGCTGTCCTGGCTTATCAACGTAAAATCCAGAAATACATCGCGCTGCAGTCATGACTTACCAGCAA